TCCTGCTCCTCCCTCCGGCCTCACAGCCTCCTTCGGACTCCTCCAAGAGACACCCTCTCGGTTCAGGCCTCCAGCCCAGGGCATAATTCACAGGGTTAACGTCCTCAGGTCTCTGCCCTAGATCCCTATCCCCAGGGAGGCAGCTGCCCGGGCCAAAGCTCCTTGCAGAATGCCCGGCCCTTGGGTTGACCCGACTTGTACTGGAATGAGCCTGATGGTGAGGGTGGAACCTGCCAGATCTCAGCCTCCTCAGCAGGCCCTGAGAGGTGGACACGAGGCTAGTGGGAGAGGGCAGGGGTGGGAGGTCCCATCCCAAGTGCAGAGAATGACCAGGGGACAAAGCCGCTTCCCCTTCCTCCACCCTCCTGGTGTCTAGGGTACACCACCCGCCCAGAAAGACCTCAGCAGGTGGGGGAGCCCCCCTCCTCACCCTGCCCCCACACAGGTCCACTGGCACTGCTGGGGACTTTCCAGAGGGCCGAGCCTCTGGCCAGGGGCCTTTGCTGGGGCAGCCAGAGCACCCAGGCATTTCCTGCATAGCCTCCCTCCCTGGGGCTCCAGCTCCTTCCTCCCCCTGCTCCTTCCCCTCCCCCACCCTGGGCTTCACGGAAAGCCCCAAGCCTGCTATTTTTAGCTGAAGAGCTGAAGAAGAGGGACGATTCCTGGCCCCATTGCTAACCCCACAGGAACTTGGGCAAAATTGGGGCTGGTGCGGGCCCAGGGGTAGAGGGAGGCTGCACCAGCGTCCCTGCCTCGTGCCTTAACCAGCACACCTGGGGGGTTGAGGTGACCAGGCTCAGAGGGGACGGAGCCAGCTCTGGGCTATCAGCCTGGTGTGCAGGGGTGCTCACTCGGGGACGGGACAACATGTGCCCAAGGCCTGGGTGGGCTTCCACCCACTTCCTGTGGCCGCGCCCCGCCCCATCACTTCAAAGGCTGCTGGCAGCCCTGTGGTCACTCTGGGCTCCCACGCAGCCAGAGGCACTGGGCGGACACACGCACTCTGGCAGCTGGACCCGCCCAGGGCAGCTTCAAAGTAGGGGGGCGAACAGTGCTGTGGTGAGCAGCTTCCCAGGACTGGGGTGTGGACAGGAAGGAGGGGTAAAGCAGCAGCCCATCCCTCTACCTCCCATCACACTGCCTTCCTGGGTGGGCTCGGGCTCAGCCCCACACCTTCTGCTCCCCAGATGCCTCCTGCAGCAGGGCCCTGCAGCAGGCCTGGGGTGCGTGGGTGCCTGCATGTGTGTAGGAGGGGGGTGGCCTGGGGGCCACCTGGAGTCCAGTCCTCCAGGACCCTGGGGCCAGCCTCTCTTTGCTCCACCTTTCTCCCTTCCCACTGTGCTCCTGGGGGGTCGGGAAGGAAGAGGGCGGGGCACGACAAGGACCTGACTGGGCCAAGCCCCGGGTGGCCCCTGCTTCCCAACCAGGGCACAGGGGGCTAGGGGAGCAGGAGCCTGGGGAGCCCTGCTCTGTCACTGGCAGAGGCTGAGAAGAGAGTGCCGGGGCGGAGGGGGAAAAAGCTGTCAGGGTCCCCTGGGGTCAGCTCCAGGACAGTTGCCGTTTTTAATCTGCACCAGTGACTTAGGACCCGAGGGCTGTAGCCTAGATCTGCTCAGAGCTGGGAGGTGTGGGACTGGAGCGGCCGTACCGTCCCTCCCCCCAGCCGGCAGCAGGGACCCTGGACGCAGTTCCTCTCGCCGCGGCGGCCCTGCCCTCCAACGTCAGTGTGGCAGGGTCCAGCCCTGCTCTGGGCCGACCTAAGTCCCTAGGGAGCGCGGTGTAGACGCAGGGCCGCGGCTCCCCACCCGGCTCACGAGGAACCCTGCGCCGCCCTGCTCCGCGGCCCCAGCAGCCCCA